GGGTTTAGGTGGAGGTTGACGGTACCAAGTTTTAGTCAATGCTGCGGTCGCTGCACTATGTTGAGCCTTCTTTATACTAGGACCTTCAGCGACATATTCTTCTTCACCCAATTTTAGTGTCACCGTGAATCTCTTTTTGTGCGCCGGTCCTTGCTCGTTGGTCAGCCTATATTGATGTTGAATCCTATTGAATCTGGCCAACTCATTTAACAAACACATAGGTGTTTTTTCTTTCATGTTTGCCAAAGCTGGATTGGTCGCGTTGGCATGATTCTGACCAGATACATTGTCGTCTCTGGACTCTCCATTGGCATCATTCGTTATCACCTTAGATTGCTCCATATTTGATTGTTGTGGTACATGCTGCGGCTGTTGCGATTGTTGTACCTGCTGCTGCGACTGCTGTTGCTGCTGAGGAGGTTGATTCTGCTGATTATTTGGTTGCTGCTGCTGCGGCTGTTGTTGATGTGGATATTGAGGTTGTTGTACATTTTGAAGAGTCACAGAAACTGTATTTGTTTGGTCCTTCATGCTAACGCTAACCATGGTATCTGAAGTAAATTAATTATTATATTTAAATTAATTATTATATTGATAAGAACAAGAATCTCGTTTTCCATTGTGTATCTGTACTTACTGTTAGTATTGTGCGTATTCATACCCATCAACATTGGCTGTCTTGGATTTCCATGCGGCGGGCCAGGATGCTGCATGTGATGCATATGCTGTTGATGGGGGGGCATGGACAGTATTGGTTGATGCGGATTCCGATGTGGTAACAAATGCTGCGGCTGATGTAGCTGGGGCATGTTAGTCTGCTGCATAGGCCGCATTGGTCCTGCCATTCTGTATTCATTTTTGTATGATTACAAATCTTATTAAATAAGTTCCCTCATAATTATATTAATTTTCTAAGACAGCAAATACGCGTTTCTATTATATATCAATATATTTGATCTCTCTCTCTCTCTCTCTCTCTATATATATATATATATATATATATAAAATTCTTTGAAATAATAAAGAAATAATTTCAATAAGTAATGATTGTTTTAATTCATTTTTTTTTTTAAATTTTTACTCATATGTAGACATTATAGCAACATATTATTAAGTCACTAAACAGAATCATTAGAAAGCTTCTTTATCAATTTTTAATAGTTTGTACAAATATTTATGTGAGTAAAATTTGTTACTTCAATTCTACATAAAAGAATATTCTTAAAATAAACTAATATTTTTATTATACTTTTTGTTTCATTGTCAGAAGAATATAAACATAAGATTTGATTAGAAGATATTAACCTGTTGTGATCTCGAAGTTGATTTTGCATTGCGTGATGTTGATGACGTAACATCTTATGACAATTTATTCAGACAAATCTGCAAAATGAAAGTACAAATTCAATTCTGTTTTAATATTATATATTTCAGATGACAGTTATATGACATATATAAACACATTTAAACGAGTATTTATACTTGAGCTACATAATCAACCAAAAGATAATCAAATTTTCAATCATGTTTAAATATATAATACATTTATCTTCTCTTGTATATATTGATAAGCTCTCACATAGCAATCAGCAGACTATAAACTGTTCTTCTGCCGACTTTGCCACTCAGTGAGCAAGAATACAAATAAATATTTCATAATTATCAATAAACAAACAATGAACAGTTGACAAACTGTACCGCTTGTTGATTTTGTCAAACAACAAAGGAGAATGCAACTCTTGAACTTTCTGTTACTCTAAAAAAAGGTTTATTCCACGTTTATGTTTAAAAAAAAAGGGTCTACTCCGAAATTTACTCCGAAATGTAGTTTCCAGAGTACGCGTGGTATGTGCCCTTTTCCGCATTGAGACGCAAATCACGAAATACATAATTTACAGCGGAAGATTCGATCGAGCCTAGAAGACGTCGAAGACGATAGAAAGACGGTATAACCTTCCTGCGGGAAGGGCGAGCCGGTATAACGGGCGGTTTATTACACGGACGGGAGACGCAATCTCGCCGCACGTCGTCCCGACCGCGCGCAATTTCGTACGCTCGATTACATGCTCCGGGTTGCGATCGTCAATTTTCCGTTTCTATAAATAAAATCCGTCCCCCGATGGAATGGGCTTGGTCCGGCAACGGCAGCGGCAGCGGCGGCGGCGGCGGCGACGACGGTTCATCTGAACAATCGGAGCCACGCCGCGCGCGCGGCACGTTACACCCTTTTTCTTCACATTTCCCCGCACTTACCCGGTCACGTTCGCTCTATTTCGCGGAAATTTAGGACGTGTCGCGTAACACAGTGAAATTTCCGGCGAAATAGATCCGCTCCGACGAAAACGAACACCGCCAGGCCCTTAGCACGGCTATTGGCAAACAGTAAAGAAAAGTACTCGATAGACTAAAATGCGGCCATTTTGATGTGGAGCTAGCGGCAGAGTATGACGTCATCGATCACATTGTGACCGACGATAGGTACACAACTTGTTAGAAGGAACAACAGAGATATATAATGAACGCGATAAAAGAAATCAAAATCTTTTTGTTGATTCCCTTCAAACTCTCTTCTTTTTGATCACTCTTGAAGAAAGAAGATACTTTCTTTTCTGTGTTTTTTGCAACCCTTCGATAAACTGTTTATAGATGCGATTATTGAGAATCACTTAATTTATAAGCAGAGCCGTTATTATAAAGTTACGTACGTGTATTATATATGAGAGTATATTTAAACTTTCTAAATAAGAAATTTAAATTAATGTAATGGTACATTATTTATCATATTTATAATAAATATTTTTATAATATATTATATAATTATGATAAATCTTTACTATCTCACTATCTGTATGTGCAATTTGAGACTATACAAATATATTTGTAATATTACAAAACATTAATATTTTTGTAAATATTTTATTAATATTGTGTGTTGTCCGAAAGAATTACATATAATAGAATCTTTATAGATTCTATAAAATATTCGTCTTTTTTTATCTTCAGACGATTGAGTCATTTAAATGGACATATATAAAAGTAATTATATATTCAGCATTTTTCTGTTTAAAATATTAAAAATACTTAATTAAATAATAACTATATTCTTTTCCTAAAAAAGCATCTAGACAATATATGTTAATTTTGTCAGAGTTGCTGACTTTCATTTTTTCTGCGTATAACTTAATTAATTCCAACAAAACGTTTCGAAAAATCTTAGTACACGAAAAACATGTGTAATATGCAGTGTAACTTTTTTGCAGCTAAAAATTTTTATTTTCAATACTCGCTTATATTGTGTAATGAGATATCACAAACTATTTAAAAAATTGGAAATACATTTACAATTAATAAATTTAAATACACACATTTTATTATTAAATTCTATTATATTATATATTTATATATATTGAAATTACGAAGCATATATGTTTCCCGAGAACGGTTTTTACAAATAAACTTGTCTCTGTTAAAATATTTACATTTAATAGTTGTGCAAGTTCTTTGATAACATCATTGCCACATTACTCATTCTTTAAAGCCCGCGTTTTTCTATACTTCTATTTACATTTGTTAAAATTCGCCCAAATTTCAATTTTTGTTTCTCCAATCTGGTATGCGAAATTTTACACGTCAGACAATTAATTGGACTGTGAAATTTGCATATGCTCCGTACAGAAGTCTCCGCCAATGGTTCCATGCACTAAAAGAGCGACCAAGAATAAATTACAGTAATAAATAGAACCGTTTACACGGGAAAAAGGGAAAAGTTTGGAAGAAGTGAAGATATAATTAATATATATATAATGCAAAGAAGAAGATAGAAAGAGGGAAGTAAAGGAGAAAGAAAACGTTTAGTTTGATGGTTTACTCATTACTGCTTACTATTTAAGATAAAAAGAAATTTTTTATTTAATTTTGCAGAAATTTCTTACAGTTGCCGCAGTTTCTATTTTTCAAAGACACACATATAATAAATATAAATTATATAGATTAGTTTAAAAAAAGTGTACACATACATAAAGAAATTAAGCAATATTAATTTCGTTTTTCTAAAACTTATAAAAATGCAACGTATGTATTATATATACGTAAGCGTCGCGTTATAATATTGCGATGACCTGTACGTCTTTCGGAAAATCTGTTTATCTTTCTATCGTTCGAAACTTCAATTTACTACTAATTTTAAATCAACGCGATTTTCGATTTCTCTTGTTTGTTTATGCAGTCTGCGATGATTATGTTACGACACGAACAATATATATATGTTGCCTACAGTATTAACGATTCGCCTAAGAGAAAATGTGCTGTAAAATGTACTGTAATTAAATAAATCTAAATGTTTTGGTAATCGTTACACTTCTATTTCGCTCACCAGCCTGTTTCGCGTGTTTGCTTCGTGTTTTCGTTTTTTTCTCTCTTCAACAGCTGAGCAGGTCTTTGGAACCGTATTATGTGCGTGAATACAATTCTCTAGTTTGCGGATTCTCAGAACGCGAAATTTCTCTCTCTGAATAGTTTTGAATATTACAGCTATAATTTCGCGAAATTTTCTATCTGCGTTATAGATGGAGTTGACAGTTGTCGAGTAAAAACTATGCGGTTAATAACTATACATATATCTATCGATATTCGGTTGAACAACGCATAGAAATAGATGCCTGTTAAGTTAATCCTACCAGTATTAAATAAATTCTAACACTTACTAAAATTAATTGCTAATTAGGTGCCGAATTGTAAAATTAGGTACTCGAACCGTTTGGCAGGAAAAAAAATATATTGGGGAGAGGGAGGCTGGCTTAACATTAAAAGTTATAGATTCTCTATAAAAAAAATTATGTTTATTGTATAAACAAAAAAAAAACAAATACAACAAAATTAAATGTTAATTAGATGCTCAGAGATGAAAATATTGTGAAAATATATTATATTATATAAAGAATTATGATAAATACAGAACTTAGACGTCAGTCGAACAATCGACACACAAAAGAAAAGTTGCCTTAGAAAATTAGGTGCTCCTACAAATTTTGTATGAAATGATGATTTCTTTTTTAATGTTATTTAAAGATATCAAGTCGCGGAATTAGGTGTTCGTTGTTTGACAGGAATTTGAGCTCAAAATGTCGATCGCGCGGTTGGCTTACAAGAGAGAAATTGCCTTAGAAAATTAGGTGCTCCCACAAATTTAGTATCTCACAGTATTATATAATAATGCTAGTGCGATTTTTTAGGGATTCGGTCTATACATGTGACTGAAAAAAATATGAAAATCTGTAATGGTCCCAGTTTGAATAAAATTGATGCAATCAGAGATGTCGAGATCGAGTACCTAAAAATGATCTTTTCAGACTTATTCTATCTTGAAAAATTATATTATACCTAAGAGACAACGAACGGCGGTAATTTGACCATAAGTGGTGGCTCATTATTCTTAATGAGCCAAATTGATCCATTTTTACCCTTTTGAATTGCCACGACTACAGATTGTCCCACGTGCTCAGCACTGTAACAAATGTATGATGTTCCGAAAAAAATATTAATATAATTTTTATATTATTTTTGTAATGATATATTATCTAATACATATTAATAACACTCTTTTCTTATGTAGGATACTAATATATTTTTAATAGTAATAGCAATGTTAATAATTAAAATACTGAATAAGTGTATAAAATAAAGGAAGGCGGTATTTCTCTCCGTCGAAAGTAATAGTATCTATATATATTCTAATTGTATATAAATTATAGCGTGTATACGTATTTGCTTCTAAAAGGTATGGTATATGTATAAGCATTTACATTTTTATATATAATACTTACGATTGAGGGTCACGAAAATCTTTGGCTATCTCCTCAATCTTATTAACAGTATCTTGATCGATAATATCGAGATATTTGTCGTCATCAACCATCATTGCAGTTATTGTGAAACTAGGACATATCGTTAGAATACGAACTCCAGTTTTGTCGTAAAATTTCTAAGAAAAATATTACATTAGTAAGATTTTTTATTATTATGGATTATTATTAATATAAGGTATTTTATTGGTTAGAATAAATTTATAAAGTTGTATAAATTGAAAAAAATATAATAATCATATTTTTCTTGACAATAATGAATCGAAAGATATACTTTTGTATAACAAATATGTAAGGCAACTGAAGATATTTTTTTAGATATCCTTTAATTCTTTAACAAAATTGGAATAAATTTAAAGCTTCTTTTATTATCTATATGTATACATTTTCAATTTTCTCTTTTAAATGATTTTTAAAAATATAGCAATTACAAAAAGAGCTTACGGTAATATTGTAAAAAGCTCCATTTTTACATCCATTTTACTCCAGTTTTACAAAATATAAATTACCTCAAGACTCAGACCAAATCCGACGACAGCGTATTTAGAAGAACTGTATACTGGACATAAAAAGAAAGGATAAATGCCAGCCAAAGACGCTACATTTACTATTGTACCTCCTTTGCCACCTTTATGTTTCCCCATGTAATCCATGCCTAACATCGAACCACGAATTAACGCTACCTGTAAACGTAAAATATATATATTTAATAGTAATAAGTATACAATTGACATATTATTTATACATCTATTTGTAAATAATTAAATTATTAAATGCTTATGTAATTACATGTGTGTAATAAATAACAAGTTTTATAAGATACATAAAACATGTTGAGAACGGAAATTTTCTAATAAGGAACTTCAAGAACATTTGTTATTTCTAAAGATTCTTAACGTCGCAGAATTTAGCTTTGTCTTCATAATTCTAAAATTTAGATTAAAAAAAAATCTGATATCGTGAAATTCGATTTTAAAAAGTCCTTCAGTAACTGAATTTAAATGTATTATAAAAATATGTCCAATTTTATATAAAAGATAGTAATCTATAATATGAAGGAGAATTTCTAGTATCACACAAGTCATAATCAGAGTTTGGAAGTCACTTTGGAAATCTTGCTCGTATAGATATTGTTTGCATAGCTTCATGTGCTTCGAATGGAAATCGAGTTTTATGATGATCACATTATTTTTTTTAAATATTATCCGTTATATTATAAATTGATTATTTTTAATTTTTAATTTTTGACCTTATAGTAGAATATTAAATAAAGTATTACCAAATTATCTCAAGTTTCATGAAAATCAAAATAATTTATAAAATAAGTAAAAGAAAGTATATCTATAAATGAGTTCATTCATATAGAAAGGATTAACATATACATTTATTTATAATATTATTTTTCTAAACTCTTACTTACTAAAATCAATAAATTAAATTAAATTATTCGATTGACCATAGCTAAAGTTTAATGCTTTATTACTCACAACGTTAATAGAAAATGTTTGCTCGATGCAACGGTCATAACATATTCCGGCATTGTTAACAAGTATGTCAAGTCCATTGAGTTCTTTAACAGCTTGCTTGAAGGTTTCTAAGAATTAAAATAATCGGTTAATATTTACTTCTCTAATTTAATAGATCCTTCGTATCTAAAAATATAAAATAAATATCATAATATTGACGGTAAATAGTCTAATAAAAAATATTTAAGAGATACATCAATTACCGCTATACACTTCCATGTTTGTCAGATCGATTGGAAAGAAGATAACGCGATCTTTTCCAAATTTTTCTTGCAAAGTCACCTTCGCTTTGTAACTACGTTCTATCGGTAAATCGATGATGGCGACTTTCTAAAAATTAATAAGCCAGACAGAGATGAGAAACACCAACTCTATCTTTTTATTTTTAATTCTAAAGTACCTTCGCGCCTTTACGCAATAAATCTTCAGTAATGTAGTAACCAATGCCACACCCAGCACCCGTGACTATCGCCGTTTTATTTTGTACGTTGTCCATTATCTAATGTTATTACGTCAAAAAAATTAAATATCGAAAAGATTAGACACAGAAAGAAATACTTAGCCGAGCGACGCTTTGATGTATCAACATCATCTGGTTGGCGTTGATAAATACAGTTTAAAACTTGTAAATATATTACCTTCACACTTATCACCAAATGTTCTATGATAATTAGAAGCTGTATTTAAATAAGTGATTATGCGCAAGTTTAACAAATTTTGAATTTCAATTATGTTGCACATATTTATGTTTAAGAATGTGGGGAAAATATAGTATACCGAGTATACGTATATATAAACATATTTTATGCTTTATTTCGATACTATATATACTATATATAATGTACATATATTATATACTTATGTATATTATATACATTTATTTTAGCAATCTATGCTTTATCAGTTTTGTTAAAAAAAATCTAGAATCTAGAAAAGTGTCGTTATTATTAATACTAACTCTTTATTCTTAAAAAGTAATAGTGAATATTATATTATTAACTGTTATATTAGAAATATGTAGCCATGAATTAAAAATTTTTAATACTTAATTAGTTTTATATACATTACAAATTTTTTTCTATTAAATATTATTTATTTATGGCTAATTCGAATCTCGAAAGTGTGCAAGCGGTAAGAATTGATTTCGATAATTTTTCCAAAAATAATAGAATCTTTTGACAAATCCGCGGCTTTTTATAATATAAATGCATTGTGTATTACATTTATATATTGAAACAAACAATTTAATGTTTTTATTTTTCAAATTTTTATAATTATAGAGAACATTTTCTGTTGTGCATAAAGAATAAATCCAATAAATAAATCTGATATTTAAACGCAATGCATTGTAAGAAAATGTTTAGTCGGAAATTTCATACCGCGCTGCAAAACAACAAACTATATTTTTAGAATTATATTTGAATCTTATATTTATTTTTGAATGGAAAAGTATCGAGACGTCGCGTCGCGCCGTATTGGTATTCATGAAACAAGAATAATTTGCCATAAAGTGCAGATTTTACATCGAAATCTTCAAATCAGTGTAAATCGGTAATTGTACGGCATAAGTAGGTTGATTGTTTTCGCTGACAAAAACAGCACCGTTCCCTCCTTTTTCAATTAATTCCACGATAGCAGTTGCCACTTGCTCAGGTCTGTTAAATGGAAAAAAATATTATAAAATTGCAACAGAGAAAAGAACGACTTTATATATTTTTAATATATTTATGAGAAGATATGTTTGTAACATTAATTTATAATTAGATGTAATATTCTTATTTATAGCAATCAATTTGCGCTATGCAAATATTAATTACTATCATATATTACTTTAAGATTTATTATTATTTATTTTATTTATTTTAACTATTATAATTTATTATAAAAATAATGTCTTTTGTGAAATACCGAATCGCTAATTGCAACTTACGATTGACTTTCCATCGTCGTCATCTCTTTGGCAGCGATCTCATCGTCGAGTAAGTCCATAGCGTAGATCTTGCTTGACATGAACTTGGAGGCCAAGCCAGTATTTGTAAGACCAGGACATATTAATAATACACGTACGCCTGTTTTCTCGTAGAAAGTCTAAAAATATGCCAAAAATATATGTATACCGACATAAGAAAGCCCATAAATGCTTTAATAATCCTATAGCATCCAGCATAAAATAATGGTAATATAGTTCAAATAATATAAGATGGAAACTTATAATTAAAGCCGTATTTGTTATTTGTTTGTAGAAATTTTACCAGTAACGATGAGGTAAATCCAATGACAGCAAAACTTGTTCCAGCGTAAATTGGCGCAATCGGATTGCCTTGCAAGCCGATTATAGAGGACATATTGACGATAGTACCACCTTTTCCTCCCTTATGTTTTCCCATATGATTTAAGCCCAATATCGTGCCACGTACAACCCCTTTCTGATTAATACGACGAAAAAAATAAGAGTAACAATTTAAAGTAGAAATAATGTAGTGTCTTCTGCGCCCAGTTGGCGCGAGACACTACGATCGACCGTGTCTCTTGATAAATCTCTTCTCAATCCCTATCTTGTTACTCACATAATTAACGTCAACCATCGGCTCCCATTCCGCATCGTTCATAATACCAGCATTATTAATAACAATGTCTAATGTGCCAAATGATTTTATTGCTTTTTTGAAACAAGCTGCAAAAATTTTAAATATATTAAAAATCTTTTTGTTTGTCACAAGAAAATATTTTATCAACATTATATAGATAAATTCAATTAGAAATATAACTTTTCTTTCTTCCAAAATATTATTAGATCGTTAGATTAATTAGACAATGGTGAAAAATCGATTGAGAAATGTTCAATATGAATGGTAGATTAATTAGATTATTTTGCAAATTTTAAAATAATCTAAATGGAGTACGAATTTCAGGTTGACTCTCATTTCTTATAATAGTGATTTATCTTTAAAATAAGAATGTTAAATACTACTTGATAAGTACAATAGATCGCAGAAATAATACCATTTTAAACTTATTATTTGACAAACAAACGATTAAGACAGAAAATAAAAAATGTAATTTGCAATAATTGATAACATGATGAAGCTTATTATATAATATTATACTATATATGTATATACTCGTATTGTATTTTATAATTTTGATATTTAATTGCAATTGATAAAATTAGCAAAACAATACCTGTAAGTTCTTCAGCATTTGTTACATTTCCAAGAAGAAAAATGGCATGATTCGCACCGAATTCTTTCTCCAATTCTGTAACTGCATTTTCACCGTTCGAGTCAGGCAAATCTATGATTGCAACGGCCTGCAATTATTAAGATATTAACAAGATGTAAGTGAACAAATGTTTTGTTGCATTATTTGGAATTCTATAAGATTCAACCAAAAAGATACACAAATCTCGGACACTTACAAATAAATCTATTAAGTATTCTAGTCAAGATAAATAGAAATTGTATTATAATAATCAGAATTCTGATTTATATGATCAGTATTTATTTTGTTTGTACTTTTTATTGTTGATGCAATTGGAACATTTTTCTCAGTATGTTTTTTACTAAAATGTATGAATGCTTCTTATATCACTTAACTTTTATTTATGTTTAATTTTTACGCTCGTTTAATATCAAATTTTTATCATTCTAATATCAAATATGTGTAACACGTGTAATTTATAAGAAATATTTATGAATTGTACTGTATTGTGTTTTATGCATTTGATTTTACTTAATTACCTTCGCTCCGCTTCGAAGTAATTCCCTTGCAGTGCAATAGCCGATGCCGTTGGCTCCACCGGTGATGAGCACGGTTTTCCCTTGAATCTCCATTATAAACGTGTTGTGTTCAATATGTTTTCGAGAGCTATATACTTTAATGCAAATTTCGAATCACACTAACGGAGTGATCCCGTCCAGCACCGATCCGCGAATGAATTTGCCGGTATTGTTAACGAGAAGTTATATAAGTTGAAATTCGAGAAGTCGATCGTATACGATAAAATATCAGATGAGGATAGGGATAGAAATCGGATAATACGAGCTCGTTTTCGAGGTAAACAAGATTGGATTTGCGCATCTAGACAAGAGAAGCATGAGAAAAAGAATCGCACAGTGTTACGTGAGGGTATGAAATATAACCAAATCGCTAAAAATATTATAAGAGAGACAATTTTTCCATTTCTCAACGTTGATAAAATATTATTATTAATGCGAATAAAATTATCATGTTAGAAATATAAATAGGATCAAATATTATAAAATTAATTAAATTGTATTTAATTAAAAAAGAAATGTAATCTTTCTTTTTATAATTAAATGTATTTGTTATTATTATATAATTATAAAAACAATAAATATATTATTTCTTTAACTAATATTATAGTGTACAATTCCAACTACATTATAATTATTATTTATTTTGGGTAATTTGAAAAAAATTTGATAGGAAATAGATAGGAAGTAGGAAAAGTAATCAGTCTTTTAAAATATATAAAATTATAAAAGTGTTCTTATGTGAGAGAAAGAGTGATAAATATAGCTAATCAATTAAAAGGCAATGCATTTATTAGCAATATTAGCAACATATACATATCATAACACATAACAAAAATGAAACACCACTGATCGTTTCATTGATGGAAAGCTACAATGAAGGATTATGCGAACAGGCGATATCATTTAAAACAAAACTCAACTAACTAGACATCTAACCGATGTATCAATCCGAGCTTTGCAATCCGATGCAATTTGCGTATTGAACAATTTGTCCCGTGTTTTCCTAGTATCTAATATTGAAAGAACGTGATCGCGTCGTGCTTGCGCTACAGACTTTAACTCTATCTCGCTATACCGTTTCTAAATATTTTTTTCTCCCTCAAAATACTGTAGAAAAATTATAGACACGATTGGATATATAGTTTTATTTGTGGAGTAATCGTCCGACGGATTTCGGTTTAATTGCATTCGTAGTACACCATTGTTGTACATTTACAACTGATGCATATAACTCTCGAAACATCGAAAAGTGAAAATTGGTATAATTTTCAAGTTTTCTATTAAGTTTCTAAAATTGAATATATATATTTAATATGAAAACTGTGTCTAGTTGTGTTTTTATTTCACTTTTATCTAATTTATTCCATTTTTCTTAAGTTATATATTATTTTACTCTTTTTTAGATATAATTAATAAATTTCTGATTTTTTTTTTTTCGTGAGTTGTTTTTGTGGATTTCTAGAGTTATTTACATTAGTCATCGTACGAAATGTGTAATCTTTCTCCCTTCTTTTTTGTACGCTTCGAGAACGCAAAAATAAGTGCTTACTTCTTTTATTTTTATTCTATCTCTCATATACGCTCTCATTTCGTCTTCCTCACACAAGCAATAAATATAAAGTGTATTCATTATGCTCGACCTGATAAAACGCGATTACATTACATGTAGCATATATCATTAAACGGAATGATATTAAAGGAATCGTCGATGTTACGACGTGTGCGTTAGAAAAATGAGTAAGTCACGCGACGGTTACAGAGTGCGGCAGAATTGAAACATTATTGCGATAATTTCCATTTTGATACGATACACAGGTGTTAGCAGCGCTTAGAAATTCCTACAAATTCCTTGGACTCGAGAATTCTTGGCTGACGAGCGTTGTTGAGGCCTGTGCAAAAATCAACGGAAACTTGCAACGCGAGTGCGGGACGGAAGCAAAAGCCATTATTTTTACATAATTTTTGTAAAAAATTTTGTAATTTTTGTAAAGATCATGCGGATCTTTATATATATATATATATATATATTTTTTTTTAATATTGCGACTATTTTTCTCACGTAATTATTAAATTCAAAAACTTGCCGCGTTTTCTGGCGCGGGTTTCTGCTAACAATAAGTATAAAACGTATAAAAAACATCGTTTTCTATAAAAAATCTGAGATGATGGATGAACCTCGAATAATGCGTTTATTGTTATAAAAAAAGAAAAATAAAACCGTATCGGTCATTTAAAAGTTTTGATACGAAAGTACAAAATAATTAAACGTTTCGCTCGCGTTCCCGTCTTTTTGACGACGCGATGGGATACATATATCTCGATACAAATTACAGTTAATTGTGTGGTATGGCATAGATATTTGCAGCGAAGCAAGGAAGAATCGTTGCGCGCGCTTGGGACCCTCTTAGTGCTTTGAAAAACTGATCTCGTGCGGTGGCTGGTCCTTCTCCACCATCCATACGCTTCCGCTTTTACCGGTGCTCAGCACGTGCATCAACGCCTTCGCCACGTGTTCTGCCCTGCAATGTCAATTATCTTTTACAAATTGTTTCTATGATGCTAATTTTATTCTACATTTCTGTACTTGGAGAAGGTAAATACTACATAACATCGTTGTATCTAAAACTTTGTTCTTTATGCTATAATTACTTTTTTCTACATTGTTAATTTAAAATAATCTTTTAAAATAATGCCATAAGGAATTAGAAAATAATAATCGCTTATTATTATTCATGTAGTCGTACTTAATCCTTTAATCATGAGTTATTTGTTCACAATTAAGTTGAGAGAGAAATTATGTAAAATTATACCTTTGAGGAATTGATGAAACTATGTCTCTTTGCCAGGCTTCTTCGTATCGAGCCAAAAGAAGTTTTCTATTGACGTCACGTACCAATTTAGTATCTGTAGCACCTGGACAAAGTGCCATCACCTTAACGCCCGTTAAATCTACATGATATTGATCCTTTTAAAAATTAAGAATAAAATTAGTACATCTTTCTTGTATTTAATTTAATAAAAGAAACGATTTAAAAATGTCAGTTAATAAGTTGTTGATTTATATTTTCTAAAAACCTTTAAACGCAAATTTTTTAGTCTCTTGTTTAATTTCTGTAAATAATGAAAATAATTGAAAAATCGATTTACATTCTTGTTATTCCAAGATATAATTACAATCAATAGATAAGATCTAGATATTTAAAAGAAACTTCTTACCCCGAAAGCTCTGGTGAAGCTGACAATAGCCGCTTTTGTCGCGGAATAAATCGGCACACTGACATAAGGGTTAATGCTGACGTTGCTGCCCGTATTGATGACGACTCCACCTTGGCCACCCCTATCGGTGCCCATAAATCGTTGAGCAAGCAAAGTACCGCGTATTACTCCATTCTATAATTAATTATATTCGTAAAGAGATCTCAATTTTTATTATGCATGTAGATATAAAAAATATTATTTTATAAAATATTTTAAATTTAATAACGAGAAACACAAATATAAAAATATATGCAATACGATAGGATTATCTCAATTATAATGAAAAATAAATGAGACATCAAAAGCGAAGAAATGACAAATTTTCATAAGAAACGTCATAAATCTTTTATAAACGTACTAAAGATTATTGTAAATATGTTATTGGAATGGAACATGCAGGAGAACGTTTGCAAGGAATCTATCGAATATTTTCTTACGAGATTAATGTCTACTTCAAGCTCCCAAAACCGGTCATTCATGATACCAGCATTGTTGATAACGATATCAATATGACCGAATTCCGTGATCGTTGTCTGAAATGATTCTGCAAATTGAATTGTATTGTATGCTAAGCAACAATTATATTACAAATAAAAATGATACCTATGTACATATGCGTTAGTCACTTGTGCGATAATTTAGAAATAAATCGACATTATAGATTAGAAATCGCGAACGACTATCGTAAGTCATCATACCTTCGAATTGCAGATAATCCGTAACATCACACTGCAAGAAGATCACGCGACCTTTACCATATTTTTCGGCTAATGTTTCTACCAGTTTTTCTCCTTCAGTATTTATATCACATATAGCCACCTATATATAGTAAAACATTACTAAGTTATCAAAAAAATGTTTAATTACCTACCGGTTTTTGCACATACAAATTTATTTAGAAATTATGTTAAAGTTATTCCTCAAAATAAAGATTATTACATTCAATCCATTCGCTATTTGCAGTCTGCTATCATATTTAATCTCGGTATTATCTCATACAGTACAGATATCTAAGGGATATGTGTGTCTAAAAATACCAGAAGATGTCCTTATATTCGAAAAACATTTCCAGGACGTTTCTTGAATAAAATGCTATGTGAAATTAGGGCTTCTTAAACGGGAAAAGAAGTTCTGTCTGTCTCAACAATTTCAAATCATTGTCTTCGCAAATGTTTCATCAAACGAAATAAACTGTAGTCAAACAGTCAAAACTGTATGCCTAGACTAATAGTATACATACCAAGACTAAATTTGCTAAGATGCTTATCACTTAATGATCTTCATTTTTAGGAATAATTGTCATTATGTACTCCGGAATGAATTTATATATAAAAATCATTTTTGTACATAAAAACTGAAGACAGTTCAAACCTTTTTTACAACCTTGTATTTTGCATAAATTGTATGTCATACGAATTATTGTTTGAAAGATATCATTTTTTAAATTGATTCAAATTCTAACAACGGAAATAGTACAATATATTTGTCAATAAAAATATCAATTACATAAAATATGGGGTACTGTATAATATAATGGAATAATGCAACTATTCGAATAAATATTTTAAAATAATTAATGTAATGTGTAAAACCATATATTTGTCATCAATATAATCGTATACTTAGCGTCAATTATGACAAATCTTTTTCTCGAAGACGCAAGAAGATTTTTCTCTGTCTAAAAAAAATCTAAATATATATCAGCTGTTTTAAAAGAAAACACGCATCGAGAGAGAGATCTGTGGAATGTTTGTTTTGTCTGAAATTCCAAATTGCGTGAAAATAAAACATGACTTTGACCTCGTTATTTAGAAAATCAAATAGTGATATTATAAATTTTTGTTTTCAAGAATAATTCTACGGTACAAAAAGTATGATACTATAAAGAATTATTAAATATATGCTTTCTCCTAAATTATAATGTACCTTGGCACCCTGATTCAACAGTTCGATGGCATACGCTTTACCGATGCCGGATGCGGCTCCTGTTATTAGGGCAACTCGCCCTTTAGCTTCCATTTTCTTTAAGTTTTTATCTTTTCTCGTACCTGCAGGCATAAAATTGGACAATAATATATCAGTATTCTTGGATTAATATTTTTAATATTAACAAAAAATTTAAATATTATGACAAAAATTGTGCTTATTTAGCGTGTTCAAATTTAATTGGAAAATTTAGACAAATTAAGCATATTAAATATTATACATATAAATATGGATACGTTCTAATAAAAGGTGAAGAGCTAATATATACACGAATTTTGTCTAACTTTAAATATTATATTCGTAGGAAATTTGCATTAAAATCTATGCAGCGCGCACAATCATTGACACAATATTTCCCAAATATTAGCTCAACATTTTGTTAATATATACCTATAAAGTAAGAAGAAAAATTTCCCCTTTTTTTTAGCTTGTAGTTTTCTATATGTAAAAATTACCAAATTTACATTAACTAAAAAATTATAAAAGCCTTTTGAAAGTAGAGATTTCAAGCTTTTTCTTTAATTTAAATTTTTATTGTTTATTTTGATCAAAATGTTCATTCTCAATGAAGATATATTGTATATATAGTTTTGTGTCAACAAAAACCATGTAACTTTTCTTTTAACTCAATATATACTGTTTCATTTCTAACATTCCATTCTTCAAACGCTAATGTTGCTTCTATATTATGCATTATTAATTATTTTGTTATTTCACACAATTGATTGTATAACGAGATATATCTTATTATTTTAAGAGGACAAAAAAGTGATAATATTTTCTAAATAAATATTTTAATTTTGATTTACTTCATATATATCTAACTCTGTGCCTGTTATTTCTTATAAATCTCAATTTTCCGTTTTATAAATGATTAATTCATTCCTACGTATTCCAAAGGCACAGGGCATTCACGCTTCAAGTACACCATTCATCCACCTGTCACTTCGACCAACACCAACGAGAGAACAAGATACTGATATACCAATGATCGCAAATGTTATTCACACTTTTCATTCTGATATTACTTAAGAGAACTTTTTAAATTTAATTTCACACCTCCCTAGAGATTTCCGAAATATCACTAAACAAACGCTCACATCACAAGTTCTATTATACGTCATCTGATTTTCTACCTCTGCCGAGACTGAGTTCATCGGCTTGTTCCGTTCTCCGTACCTTTTTAATTTCTCCACTCGTACTGTGTGTGACGTTTTGCAACCAGCGGGATGTAACAAAGTTGACTAGCTAGCTAGCTTGTGAAACTCGGATGCAATGGTCGAGACGTCGCGTCCTGTCTTCGTCAAAAGGGTGAGATTGACGTGAATTGACGGTAGCAAAGTAGTCCTGAGAAGGTGTGGTTGGTAGCTGATGGTGTACTGGCTGACTGACGGTCGAGATGGTCGGGGTGTACACCCGGTATAGTCCGATATTGATTGGCGCGTCTGCGTGCTATGCGGGTGTGCGCGACGCCGGCCGGTGCGTGCCCTTCACACACGTGCGTAAATGCGTGCTTTTGCAATCCCTCGGCACAGACTATCCGTCGGTCTCGTGGTCCCTTTTATTTTTAGAACCGTCACCGAAAAAGTGACCGCATCCCAAAAGTAACAGTTTGAATTAATACCGCATAGTACTATTTTTTGTTTCTTACTTTCATTTACTTAATGTTTTGTTTTTTATTTCTTATTTTTATTTTTGTAATTTTGTCTCACAATATATTTTATAATTTTGACTTAATAAATTTGAATATTTTATAATCGACTCTTATATACATATATGTCCTTTATTTTCTTGCTTAATATTTTATTATATATATATATATATATATATATATATATATATAGATTTTATAATTATTACGCTATTGTTGTATTATTATAATTCAATTTAATTTGGACGTTTAATGTGGACTTCTTTATATAAGAGAGTACAAAATGTGTATATTTATTCTGATTATATTTATTCTAATTAGAATAAAAATTCAGACAGTTTTATTTATTATGACAATCTATTATAAGATTAAAGACTATTCTACATATAAATTATAAAATTGCCAATTAAATGTAAAATGTAAAATTATATATACGATTGATGATATAATAATTACTTCACAATTAGAAGATGTGACACACCTGTCAAATAAAAGTTAATTTAAGCATTTAAGTTTTTCATTTAAGTTACACAAACTGTTTGAATGCAATATATACGTACCTAACTTAAAAAAAAGTATAGTTTTAAATACAGCAGTTTTTTATTTTAAATTTTACATATGCAAATACATAAATTATCATATATGTATACTTATCGAGATATACTGATATATGAAATAGATGCTTATTGAATATTAAAATCTTGTATTTAGCATATCTTTTATTTTAGATTGTACATGCAATACATAAAACATTATATGTATTAACATACTTATTAAGATAACGTTATCGGTATATGTCAGTCACAAACAATATTGCTCCCCGAATATTGAAATCTCGTACATACATATATACCTATACATGCATGTTTTTAACCTACTAATCAGTAATACGATTAATAAGTTACTTTTTTTTATACTGTTTAATAAATAGTCACATAAAAAATTATTGTTGCATAAAAATTATCATTAATCAGACTAAACGGAGATAGTTCTTATGTTCAATAATATATGTATGTATATATATATATATATATGTATGTGTGTGTGTGTGTGTTTTGCAATGTATTTAACATTAAACTCATACATTTTATTAAACATAAAAAATAAATACTTTTAATTATAAGATTAAAGTTTGTGTTAAATAATTCGACAAAATAATATTGTTCAAAATTCTAATTTTAATATAGCTTTGCACATATGTCGAGAAAGTAAATATTATAAATAAATATATTTGTGAATTTTTGGTTAATGTTGTTTTATTTTAACTATTCTTTTAGAAGAAATCTGCCATACCTATAGGAGATAATTTATGATTTTCAAACATACATATGTACATGTTACATTTTAAAAAACATTAAAATATAAAAATTTCTCTTTCTTATATGTTTTATTATTATGTCTAATATCTGTGTAAAATTTGTTTATAATTTTCTCATATTGGTTTAAAAATTATTTAATTTTCAAATAAACTTTTGTGTACAAATCTTTATGCAAAAATTAATTTTTTTATATATATTAATAGAATTATAATAAATATTTATAGACAAAAGTTATTTATTTGAATCTACTTATTTAAAAGTCATATTTACCTAAAACCGCAACAAAATATTAGATCATTTTACTGCATAAAGCTATTATAGGGTAAATTTGTTTTGTTTTTCTGCAGTTGATTTCAGGAAGTATTTATGATTTTTTTGCTTGTCAACTTATATTGACCTTTCCAGCTAATTTTTGGCTGATATTTTTATTGTATAGCTAAAACATTTTTCTAATCCAAATTTATTTATATTTACTACTATAAATGAAGAGTTATTAAAATCAGAATTTCCGAGTTGGCAAAGTCCCCGTGTTAGTTGTTAATATATAAATTCATGCGCTGTGCTAGATGACCTTTCTAGATTACAATCGTTGATTAAACACATCACTGTAATTTTAATGTAATATTTGTCTTTGTGTGCAATCGTTTTTTAGGAAGCAATATACCATTTATATCATTTATTCATTTATCATAAATGTTTAATTAAATTGTTGTGAACATTTATTTATTTTTACGAGAAATATATCATATATATATATATATATATGAAAAAATTGATACATTCAGAATGCATAGCATCTAGTCTAAAACGTTTTGATCCTTAAGTGTTCTTTATTTTTTATAAAAATTTATACAAAATTTAATTTGTGATTTCACTTCACTAATGAATATTTCGAATTTTCTCAAATACCACTGAACTTAAAACTACACTTACTACACAATAAAGAGATGAAGATATTCACAGTGCTGTCTCATGGATAACGAATCTTGCACGAAGAGAGACCCTGACGAATTGAACGTCACGCAGATCGCGAGGTCGAAGATCGCCGAACGAAAACAGTAGATTCTTCCATATCGGTTCGAACTTCAAGCAGGCTTTTAGACTGGCTAAAGACTCACATCATAGCTGGTGGTCTCATCGATAAAGAAACATCTTGATTTTGCATAGTTAACTGTTTCACTATAAAAATATAAAATTTGTGAACGGAAATTCATATACTGACGTGTTTCAGGACTTTTATAAACAAATAAATATACTCAAAAGAGATTGTTGGCTGGAAAATTGGTGGAGTAATGCAGATCAAAGATAAACGAGTTATAATAACTGGAGCAGCAAGTGATGTGGGTCTAGCATTTAGTAGAGAGCTGCTGCGAAATGGAGCTTTGGTATGTAATTTAACACAATATTGTATAATATTTATACATAAATATATCAGTTGTTGTAATATATCAACTATTACATAATAAAACTTTATACAGCCTTTTTTCAAAAGTATTCGTTATAAACTCATCGCATATATAGTATTTATCCATATAAAGTACTTATTCCTTAATTTTTTTCGTTAATAATAGCAATAATTATTGTAAAAATTAAGAGAATAATTATTAATATTTATTATCGTTTGGATTAATAAATAATGTTTACCTTCGCTTAGATGTAAAAAAAAATTTCTTAACTGTTTATTATTTGTTATATTACATTTTGCTTGATAACATAATGTGATGTGTATTAATAGTACTCGTAAAAAAATAAGTCATATCATTGTAACATTAATGTGGCCTGTTTTTTGTATTATTTTATTATAATATAATGTAAATAAATTACATTAATCTTATATGTACATAATAAACATTATAAAAGGATAATTCAGCTAAAAGTATATCAGAAACTATAAGTATGTTAGATATGAATAATTATGTGTTAAATTACATCCTTTTGCATTAATAAACGAATTAATGATTTTTGTTATTAGTAGATAGCTTCAAAGTCAATTTAAAATATTAAAAATTTTATTGCCATTGCATTTAAAAATAAGTGATAGTGTTTATTATTCGAAAATTTGTTAATCAAAAGAAAATTCTCTCATTGCTGCATATAGTTTTGAAACTTTTATAAATTACAAATTTTTCTCTTTATAAAAATAATAAAATATTTTTTTCTAGATGATAGTTATGATCGATATCAAGCAACAAATTGGAGAACAGGCTGTAGAGAGTTTAAACAATGAGTTTGGCCGCAAACGAGTTGTATTTCTTCACTGCGATGTAACAAATAATTCCGAATTTGACAGTAAACATAAGTCTATTTTATATTATTAATATGTCATTAATTTGTATTTTATTAATACACACACTATAAGCAAACTCGACCATTGCTTATGTAAACTGCAAAATTCAATTTAATTTACAACTTTTGCATTCACGGAATATTTGTTAAATTTGTTCAAACTAAAACTATTAATTGTTGTAGCCACGTTGAAAGAGGCAATCTGCATTCTCGGTGGACTAGACATTTTAATAAACAATGCAGGCGTAATAAATGAAATTGACTTTTCTAAAGCTATCGATGTTAATGTGGTGAGTTTTATTTCTAATTTTTATTTTAACTTTGCGTAATTATATTAATCTTGTAAGGAAATATAGGCTATAAATATTATTAAAACCTTTAAATATTTTCTGGTAACAGATTATTTTACATTATAAAAAATTATATTTAAAAAATTATATTACATGTAAGCGCGCGCAAATTTGCATAAAATTTCTAGAAAGGCTAGATTTAAATGGAGCTAATTGTATCTTAATTAAAAATAAAATCACATGATGAGGGAATTTTAGATAAAATAAAGTTCCAAAATATAAATTTTTGTATATTTTTTGCAGACAGCTGTGATTCGTGGGACTCTTCTGGGGATTCAACAAATGCGAAAGGATTCTGGTGGCAAGGGTGGTATTATCGTAAATATTTCGTCTATTGCCGGATTACGAGCTGTATCTCAACTTCCAGTATATTCTGCTACAAAACATGCTGTGGTTAGTTTCAGCCGTTCTTTTGCGGTAAGTATTTACATTTAAAACTATGTGACATATAATAAAATCTGTAACAATTATAATGAATAACACAATAAAAAAAATATTATTTAATTTTAAATAGATAAAGAATATACATACGTATTATTGGATATTAAGGGACACATAAACGTATTTTTAAAAAATATAGCGAACACTCAGATTATGTGACTTCAGGATTTTGTATTTGCAGCAATGGAGACATATTCGTTCAGAATATGAAAACTGTAATGTATCTTGAAACGCGAAGCAATTTGATTAAAGTTTCTTTTTTATAAAAAATTTGTAAGACCTTTTTTTGAAGACCATGACTAATTTTAAAAATGATTACCTAAACAATAATTATAAATAAAACTCTTCTTTCTTTCTTGGCAACAAATTTCTACTTTAAACTTGTTTTTAAAAAACTTTAAAATTTGGTGATAATTTTATTTTATTAGATATAATAAAATGTGTATGTGTGTAGACACTATTTTCTTACGTTTCTGAATTTTTGAAATTTTTGTAAAGATGACTTGAAGGGGAAATGAGAAAGAAAATTTTGAAATCAAAAGAGCTGGAAGAAATTCTTATTGAATTTTTTTTATAAATCTTTACTCTCACTTAATTTCATGTAGAAGATTCAGAAATACGCGACATGAAGATAAAGGCAATGACAAATCTGAATAATAAAATACAGATACATAAACCAGATAACATATATCATTCATTTGCTATAACGGCGACACAATCAAAAAAGTTTTCCAGAAAATAAATTTTAATATTTTGAATTATCAAAATTAAATAATAATAATTTTAATAAAATGTTAATGTAATAACTATATATAATTGTGGAAAAATAAAAATAAGAAAATAAAAAATATATCTTCTTTTAAAGTACATATGTATATGCTTTCTTCTTTTCTTTATGTTTCCATTCTTTTTTTATAGGTATATAAAAAATAACAATTTTTAAGTTACTAGTTGTTGTAGCAAATAAGCAATAAAAAATTTGACTGCAATAATGGATAAAGCATATGAAAAGAGTATTTCATACATATCTTGAAAAACATTTTACATAACACATAAAAAGGTTTATTGTAATCAGATATTTTTTCTTTACAGCAACCTTATCACTACGAAAGGACTAATGTAAAAGTAATTGTTCTGTGTCCTGGTTTGAGCGATATACCAGAAGATTTATCGCAGGGTATTTCAAATGTTAATAGTTTGCAGTATGATCAACCTCAGAGGTAAAACTGACATTAATTTATAATTATTTATAAATGACGCACTCTAGAAATGTACATAAAATACAAAAGATAAATATGTTGCCAGGGTGGAGAGCGTAGCTCATGGATTGATATATGTAATTCGATGCGCACAGAACGGCAGCGTATGGATTAGTGAGGACGGAAAACCGGTTTTTGAGGTGCAGCTTCCCGATACTTTGCCGCAAAAAACTGAAGTTGATACACAGGACTAACTGCTAATATAAAATCAATCGCAGACTAAATATTGTTATAATTTTATCATATAACTAAATAATATGTTTTCTAATTGTATGACAAACTCCTTCTTTTTACAAAAAATATCTTGTTATAGATGAAATCTGTTTTTAATTAATAAAAATTGTCATAATTATGATGTGAAATCTGTAATGAGTTTTCAATAGATGTTTGTTTTATAATAAATAGCGTGTTTAAAAAAATATTGTTAAAATCTTTTTTAAGAGAAATAAAATTTTTAAGAAAATTCGTCAATTTAAATTTTTTTAAATAATTGATTTAAATTTTACTATACATGGGGAAAAAAGGTACCCCTGAATAATTCGGAAAATATAAGTTTTATAGAAAAATGTTTTAGACAAAAGTTGTAGGGCTTAAAAAGATCTATTTACTAATCTTATCAGTTTGATTTTGGGTGGCATCGCCAAGGTCAATTTTTTTAAACAGAATACTTAATTTTTTTTATTTCAGAATTTAATAGCTAGTGTCAAAAGCTTTTCAAAATACTGTAAAAAAAAATTTTTATTATATACTTTCCAAGTTATTCAGAGGCACTGACCTTTTTTCACCACTCTGTATAAATAAGTTAAACAAAGTTTAACTTTTAAAGGGTTAAGCTAATTTGTAATACGCCAATAAAATATTATTTAAAAAATAATTAATATATTATATACGTATGTTACTTTTAGATCGCGCAAACTAAAGCCGCACTGTAGCATAAAGAATACAGGAAATCACATTTAACAATGATAAGTCGGTTATAGTAAAAAATATCCCACAAATCAGTGATCAGTTGAACCAATTATTAACTGTTTGGTACGCAGAGATCACTAATCTTTTACAGACATGCGTATTTATGAACCGCTCTGAATCGCCGCAACAGACGCATCCTTAATACACACACAGGCGTTTTACGACGTGTAGCGGTAGTACGATAACTAAGTAAAAATCATAAAAAAAATTACTTTCCTTCTCGATTCCGAGTAAAGTTCGATCGGAACCAGTTCGTATCGGTTATGGTATCGACTCGAAGCCGACATGCACTGTCCCTCGACTAATTTATCATCGGCGCGACGCCGATCAAACGTTAAGTGCGCTTTTTCTATTGATAAGTGCAGTGAGCACGAGCTGTGCGCACGTCAGGCTCTTATCACCGTTTTGTGCCACACGACTGTACCAAGTGCGTTATTTCTAAAGTTCGCCGACGCCACGAGCAATTGATAAACGTCCCGCATAATTTGCAAATAACTGGAAAAATTAAAAAAAAAACGCATAAAAAGTAAAGTTTTCGATCGTTAGCTCTTCTTCTTTTGCGTTATATGCTTTTTTAGATTGATAGTTTATCTAATGTCCGTATTTGCTTAAATTTATCTTTAGATTCTCAGTAGCCAATAAAATAATTCGGCCTGGCTATGAATACGGACATATATTTAGCAGATTGGAGAGTCAAGGAATTTACAATATATTCACAAGAATTCTATATTTACATATATAATATCTATTATATAATACAAAATATCTCAGATGTTTTCTTTCATTTATAAATACATTCTATTACATTTTCGTAAAATCTAAAATTTTTAATGAAAATAGAATGATTCTAAAATTCGTCGTAAATGATTTTAATGATTTTTGTAAATTTTAATCGTGAATTCTCGGAAGAAAGAATATATAATAAATCTCCTACGTAAAATGATGAAGTCACGGTTAGGTCATTTGATTAGGGTTGACTTATGATAGGCCTGCCAATGATAATGACATCGATAACAATTTATCACATTGCTCCATTACAACTACAATTACACGAACGGTCAGACTTTTAACAAAAGTTATATCATCCAATGACTGTCGCGTACCCGGAACGATAGTTTCTCTTTTTAAGTTTGACCTGCTATTAATCATTATTTTATTTTGTAAATATTACACACAGTACCACTACATTAAATGACGAACGCTAGTGTTCCGTAAATTTTTAGCTAAGTATGCATTTCCGCTCGTATCAATTCGTAAAGATATGCAAGTACATTTAAATGCAATCGTTTGTGTTTTAAGTCTACTTCTTTTTTATTGCATTTTTTTTTACATAAACTGAATACACAATACGTATATAGGTACTTAGGCCAAAAAAAAAACGAAGTTATAAAACGAAAAGAGCACAACTAAGGCGAACGGAAGCAGTTCTTATAGAATACCAGAAATTAGTGATTAATTACTTATTTTAAATAATAAAAGTATTGTTGTTTAATCCATAAAGTAAATAATTTTCAGTATTAAATTAACCAATATTAGGGAGTAAAAAAATGCTTTAAAAGTTAGTTTGAGAGTAATATAAGTCGTTTGAAAGCTGTAGCATGATACGTTAGGAACATAAAAGGGTAAAAATATTTCTTCTTCTTGTACGGTGACGCAAATAAATCTACAAGCCACCAGCCATTTCCATTCCCCACGATTGTCATGAATTTCTATTAATAATGGCGAAATAGCCCGATGGGGTAAAATCAAATATACACACACATATATAGCTGGGTTGTGTGTTTCAATAACTTTTTATTTCGCTCGTACGCGCCTTTGATGATCAAGTGCACTTTGATCACTTCCAATATATCTTGCGTAGCTCTTTACATTAAAAAAAAAACATGGCTTTATAAATATGTCTTTATAAATGAGTAATTTTTCTTAATATAATATATTTATTTTTCAAAAAATAAGTATGTAAAAAGCCTTTAACATATTTTATATATTCTATGTGCATATTTATACACACAATTAAAAAACTTGTTAAATTTTTAATATATTTCACATATGTTTCGAACAAAGCAATTTTTTCAAATTCACTCAAATTTTTATATTAGTTTAACACAAGATAAATGTATTAAAATGTGATAGCTATATAAAAAATTAAGACAAAAATCTGGAGATACGGTAATATCATTACGGCACAATTTTGAAAATTATAAAAACATTTTTCAGTAAAATTAACATTTATAATATATGTTAAATTTACATTTCATTAATTTTTTTTAAACTTTAAGTATTTATATCTTAAAAAATATTCTGTCATTTAGCGGTTCTGTGTTATGTCAGAAAACTTTCCATTTATATATGATCTCAAAAAGATACTCTACAAAATAAAGGAATTTCGTATCATAATAAAGTACTGGCTGATTCATGTAAAATTTTTTGCTTAGAGGAAATGCTAAGAGGAATTCTCCGTTTATCGGAAGAATATTATTTTTTTTTAATGTAAACTATATTATTTTCATGTAATTTATTTAATTACTCATTACACTAAATTGAATTATTTAATATTTTAGCTATAAATAGTACTAATGTCAATTTAACACAAAATATTTCAATAATACACAATTATACACGCATATTATATTAAAAATTTGGATATATATATAAAATTTAATATACAAGTTCTAACATGTTTGAGTTAAACATGATTTCTACTGTGTATTATATTATAACAAAATAAATGATAACATAGTAAATATTGCGTAAAAAGCAATAACATTGTTGAAGATGCAATCACTTAATTAACGGTCTATTAACAGTCTAGTTGCTTGGTCTAGTTAGTACACGCTATGATATTCTATACTATACAATACAATACACTATTATTATCTTCAAATAAAAGAACAAGTACGCTTCAATGCCTCTCGGTCTGTGTCTCGTATATCCAATATTAGAAAGCACATTGCCACGATGCGATTAATTAGCATCTGTGGAAGGGGTTAATTAGGGTAAAGCGTTATCAGGAACTTTGAGAAAAGAGAACGACGAGACGCGACTGTGTCTATCGAGAGGGAGGATAAGAAAAGACAATGAAAAAATAAAGGATCGCAATAATAATAAATAAGTCTTCAAAATTATTGTTATCGAGAGTAACAATCTTGTTAAAAGCCATTTAGTTAACAATATTCTTCTGCATTGTTGTCCCTTTTTATATTGCTAATATCATAATTTAATTTTGACATTTGTTTCACTTTAAATTAAAAATTTGAATTTCCACGACAGTAACAATCGAGCTCAGTACAAATTATTCATTAATACCAAGAGATTGTCAATTCGATGTCGATTTTATGATTTCGACGTCGAATTGATATTAAATTGATGTCGATTTCATTGTCATTTCTCATTGGATAAATAATCATTATAATTTTCTTCGATTATTTTATATTTTTTATAATTTTCTTGTATCAGTAATTATACTCATAATTATATACCTAACGTATCTTTTACAAACTAAAAAAACTTGGCAAAAAAAAACTGAATTATATCAGTCTAACGAATTTAATAGTATTTTAATTCATTGTGGAGTCTGATATAAATATGCTCTATAAAATGCGACATCTTAAGATTTCAAACACCCTTGAAGATGTCGAATTTTAAAGAGAAAATTAAAAAAATTTCTTTTTTATCATAATTGTTCGATCTATATATCTACTGCCTATGTAATCTCAGCCGAAGTCCACCTTTCACCCTTTGAGACATCCCCGCCACGATGGAAACTTAAGTCGCAATATCGCAAAATCCCACATCGCTGCTTATCGTATATAAGTACCATTCGCACGGTCTCGAAGTTCAGTCGAATACGTATTACCAGCACAAACTTCCAATTGTTCGGATTCACTCCTAAGAACTTAAACCCACCGGAAATTAGTTTATTCTCGAATATCCAAAGCAGTTTTATTCATGGAGAATAAAATAGGTAAGTCTGTTTTTTTCATCGAGAAAAATACATATGTATCTATCAACATGTTTTGTTATAAAAAATGTGTAATATAAAAAATAAGTTTTCGATTATTTTAGGTTCATAAATTATAATTTTAATAAAAAATTATTATATATTAATTTTGTAAATAATGTTTTCATAATTTTATAATTTGATTTCCTGAGATAAAAGATTGTGTGAGGCTTTTTTATAGAACATGAAACGAAATAATTCTCATTATTTCAATAATAAGAATTTACTTTATCAGAAAAACTAATATTAATAACATGCATTTTGTTAATATTATGAGTTTTCCTAATAAAATAAATTTTCTTCTTTTATAAAACAAGTTTTATGTTATAGAACCAAGTTTAAGAAACCTTCGCCGTCGTTCTTCAGCGTCCGAAAGGGCAAAGGAGATAGAAGCGATCAATTGCATTGTTTCTGGAAAAAATGTTCTAATAACTGGTGGTGCAGCAGGATTGGGCTACGCCTTTCTTAATCATTTCTTGAAGCACGGAGCAAAAGTATGTTTAATAATTAAATCAAATATAATATGTAATGCCTATATGTTTAATAATTAAAATAATTTATAGTATAGAAGTACACAAAATTTGTAGAAAATCTATATAAACCAGCATTACATTAATAATTTATAATTATCTATAAATCTATAAACTACGTACATTTATAAATTCCATTATTTAAATAAGTCTCAAATTTTATCATATAAATGCATAATTCTATAAAGTGTTTTATAAAAATTTATATAACATTTCCAGTAATCAAGAAAACACACTCCTTTGTAACACCATTTTTAATTAAATTAATTTTATTCTGCAGATTAAATTATTTATCTCTCTCCTGTTAGATATGAAATATATGGTGCTGTCCTTAATTTTACTAAATTTACAGAGAATGGTATTAGTAGTAGTATTTAAATTTATTTCATATTTGTTACAGAAAATAATTATATTGGATATCGATGCTGAAACCGGCAAACGAATTACGCTCGGCGTCGAAAAATCTTGCGGCGAGAAAAAAGTACACTTCATACATACCGACGTATCTAATCACAAACATGTGACTGGTAAATATAGAGCATTTTCAAATTGCATAGATATATGTTACTATCTCACTGAACTTACAAAATATCGTTCTTACTTCTCAGAATATCTTATTTTTGTTTGTACCAATTTATAGAAGCTTTTGAAGAAGCATCAACGCTATTAGGAAATATTGACATCGTGATAAACAACGCTGGAGTTTTAGATGAACGAAGATGGGAGAAGGAAATCTCGGTTAACATTGTGAGTATCGTTGATAATAATTTTTTAATTTATTAATGACTTTATCGATGTATCCTAATTTCATAATTTCTGCTGTTTATTCTGATGTTTTCTCTCTTAAAATTCTTACAATGTTTTTCTTAATATTTCGAATATATTTTATATTTCAATTAATTTCGTGATTTTTGTGTCAAGATGATTTTACCAGATCGCATGTAAAAATATATAAAAGAATTGGAAAATGAATATCATTAATAAGTACTCTTATAGAAATCTAATACTGGCCAATTTATTACCGAAATATAGGAATTAATTACTTATTTGAAATACTAAAAAAGAATACTGAACAACGATGCTTTTAATACTTAAAATAAATAATTACTATCTTTCAATACTAAATTGACTAGCATTATATTGGCATTTATACGGACCATAACTGCATACCGTAATCTGTAAGAATTGACTATAATTACAGTCGAGTATTCCTCTAGCTGTTACAGTCAAATGAGAGAGGACTACTCGATTGATCAATTCTTATAGATTACGGTATACAGTCAATATATAATAAATGCTCCCTTAGATTTCTGTAAGGTATAATATATGTAATAATAAAAATAAAGAGTAGATCCTAATTTTTTATATCAATGTTAGGGAGGCATGGTCAGCACTGCGATGTTAGCTGTGCAATATATGAGCAGAGATACGGGTGGCCATGGTGGTATCTTGGTAAACGTGAGCCAGCATGTGGATATTCGAAATACAGCCCAACTTCCGGTTTACACTGCCACGAAGCATGCCGTTATTGGTCTATCGCAGTCTCTATCGGTAATTGCCGATATAATTATAATTGTACAGAATTGAACACAGTTACGTCCATTTATTATTCAAACGATCACTCTAAAGTAGTTACAAACAAAAATGATATAGTTATACTTATAAACAACTTCTCAATATTCTACAAGATTGTTATCTTGTGAATTATAAAATAATAAAGTATTTAATTTTTATTATATGTATAAATACACGTTTACTGTCCAACAGGATCCCTATCACTATGAGAAGACCGGTGTTACCATAATAACTTTGTGTCCAGGATTAACGGAAACCGCTCTAACAGTAGATAGTCCTAATAAACTTCTTTCCAGAGTCATGAAGGCAGATTTTGTTAAGAATCTTGAACAGTTTCCAATACAAACGTAAGTCATTATTAAAATTATCTCTATGTCTTAAAAGTTGGATACAAAATAATCAGATGAATGTTGGATAATAGAACACATTCTACAATAAGTCATTAATAATAAATCAGAAGTCAGAAACTAGAAATTGAAATTTAACCAATCAGTCGAATGCGAAAAGAATAAGTGATTATGATTGGTTAATTTCTAACTTCTGATTTCTAATTTATCATATACTATAATGGCTTGTAGAATGTGTATAAAACATAATAATGTTTCTGCTGTAGAATTAAATTATAATATAAATGCGAGTTTTTCGCTACTTCAACAAACAGTACATTTCATAATAAATACGACGGTTGCTCAGAAAGTAATGCCTTACATTTTTTTCCTCATCCAATAATAAAAGTAGAAAAGTGAAATTTTACATGTTGCAAATTTAGAGTTTAAAAAATTTAGGGCATATTACTTTCTAAGCACCCCTTGTAATTACAAATAAATTATTTATCAATTTTTTAATGAGACACATCCAGTGAAAATTTAAGTGGTCACATTTCTTAAAAGTTCCAAAAGATCAACCAGGGTCAAAATGACCGAAAAGTGCATTTAATCAGTTGTTGTGTTCACAACTTTCGTTTTATGAAGTCAAAAAAAATTACCAATTAAATATGGTCTGGGGTCATTTTGACTTCAGAGTGATCACGAAGGGTACGTTGAAATATCAGTTCTACAAGATCTTAAATTCAGTTCGTAAATCTGATTCTGACACAAATGTTACACCTCTCCCGATGCTTACATATGATCGTCGATTCAGCAGAGATAAATTTCTCAACGACTCATTGTTGTTTAATCTTATTTTTGCAGACCTTACATAGTCGCGCAAGGCCTGATGACGATATTGAGGATCGGTGAATCTGGCAGTATTTGGGTTATCGAAAGCGGCAAAGCGCCTTATGAGGTTTATGTACCGAATCCGCGTACTCTGCGTCGTCATTATAAGAACAACTTCTCACACGTCGATACCAAGGTCGCGAGAGGTCGCCCGATAAGAGAAGTCTGCGATAGTACGAGGACAGGTCTGATGAGTTGTGCCTGATAATCGGCAAGCGCATGACCGTGATCTCTCACTCTGTTTAGGGCTGAAATCTTCGATCCACGTGTGACGAACGTCATCCGAAGACTATATTAGAAGATATTTCACATGTAGATCAGTGTAACCGGAAGTGCAGAACAGAAGCGATGCAGTCGAAGCGATATTTCGCGGGAAATAACATTCCCGAGATTCTCCGTAGATATAATTTTGTATTACAAAATTTCATGCATATTTTCTTTCTCCTCAATCATCCAACTGTATTTACTGGTTACGTCATAGTTTCCTTAAATACACGCAACATATTCAACCTTTTTCATTTCTTATTAATAACGCCAGATTGTATGAAGGTGTCTGTGATAAAAAAATTTTATAATAAATATTTTTTTTTTTTTAAATAAACTAATCTGAAAATAAGACCTTCAAAAATGTCATGTATTATAAGTTTCGTACCGAATTTTTAAGATAACTCATTATATCCTGCAAACTATAATACAAATCGTTATAAATGGCGACTTTCGATTATATTGATAATAGGAATTTATATCTCTAATGTGTTAATAATGCGGTGACTATTACTTCCGGGCTATTTAAAAATATCGGACATGACAAGTCTATGCGCAAAAAGAAAATAGAAAACATAAGTGGGTTCAAGTTACGAACTAACAGGGCTCATTAATCTATGTTTGCGATATCGTGTGTAATAAATCATTCTAGTTTACTGTATCGCTTATCAAGCATTTGAAACACTGAATATAGCGCATGGAAGACGCTGTTTTTTCTTTTTGCATACATTCTAATCACACCGCATGTAATACGCAGCACACTTTAATGTCGCCAGACGCACGATAGTTTTACCAACAACATATGTTCAAGTCCTATTAAAGACATTATATAATTTTATTTACATCTGAGTACATCTTCTTTTTTTGAAAAAGAACAACACGCATATCTCATATCTCGAGTCGCTCTTTAAAATTCGTATAATCTAGCATTTAAATTTGTAAACTGTTATCTTTCACATTTTTGCGCATTCGTCGAAGAGCAGGGAAGGACAATCCGTATCTTATAGTTCTCGATTGTTATAACTTTGTGAAGAAACAAGAAAACATCTTTTCGTTCGTTTGTTGGAAAAGTAGTGAGTAGGAGATCGGAAATGACACGACGACGTGTTATTTCATCATTTCAATATTATTCACCATCGGAAATCACAATATATCCGCTGTACAAAACAAAAATCCATTTTCGCGTACATTATAAATTCTTCTCACATGCTCAAGGCATGAAACTTAAAAGTTAAATTTACTCACCATATCTTTTTTCTACTTGTTTATTTCGTTTTATAGTCCTTCTTTTTATTTCACTCTGCATTTTCTTTGATAACCTATTGGAGGTTCGCTTATCAGTTATGCAAATCTCAAATTGCGTACGTATGTATTTGTGTGTGTGTGGATGTGTGTGTGTAAATATATATAATATTTGTATGAGTTTGGGGACTCTGTACGAGCCATAGAAAAATAATAGTCGCAAATAATGTTCTTATTCTGTTTCTTCCATGTCTTATATTTTTAAGGATATTATCATGCTTTTATTCTTATTTGCATCGCCATTTAACACAATTCTACCCACAGCGTCTTCGTGTATTCAAAAGGATTCTTCGAGAGCGCGTGCGCGCGTAAATAATTATAATCAAATTACGACGAATAAATTATTTTTATGCGTTTAACGCTTTGAAAATCTTGTCATAAGCTTCCAAATTTGCATCCCGTGCATTGGATTCCATTTACATACGCTAATAAACCGCTATTCCAAAAATGATAATTGAATAAATTTATGTAGAGAATAGATTAACTATTTTCATTTGAATATACATGTATAGTCATTATTGTACATAATATAGTAATAGAATATTATGTCATTTAATAATAAATTATTATTTTTAGTATTTTCTGTTTGTATATACATGTATATTGAATACAAATTTTCCTTGGAATAAGTATTATTATACTAGTTTTGGAGTTAATAAAACAAAAAAAAAACAAATTGACAAAATACCGATTAAAGATAACAATTTTCTAAAACAATTAATTTTAATAAGCATTATATAAATTTCATGTTTGATATAATTAATTACTGATTATACTGTAGATATTTATTTTATAGTTTTACTAATTAAGCTACTCTTACACATATGAGAGCAATCGAGGAATCCTTATTTGCAAAACACGATGACAATTCTATAACATGATTTAGAACTTAGTTGCTTACAATAAGATTGACGCTTACATCTTTCATAATTTTAGATGCAGATCTTGCAAAGAAAGAGTAGGCGGACCATAAGATTACAATTTAATAATACAAAAATTTTCATATAAACTGGCTTTCACTTATTTCCCAATTATATTCATCCACCCTAATAAAATTATACGTTTATATGAACTTTATGCCGAGAACTCGAAAAATTTTGTCTGCGCGTACACTCAAAAAAACCAAAACAAAAGAAAAAAATATTTTTATCAGATTTATCTTGTACTATATAGCTCACAATATTTCTATTCTCGACAAATGCAATTAGATACAATCGATTTTTACATACTTTGACGAGAAAGTACTTTTATGCACGTCTATTACCATTCACTTCCGATATACGGATACAAACCAGCTATTCCATAACGACCAGTATTATCAAGTCACCATCATCATAAAGCCATTCCATAATTATTTATAGTCAAGTTTTGAGAAAACCGACTGAAAAATGATCACGATTGAATTGTACAATTTTTTCCCTAACTACGAACAAATACACTATTATTTATAAATTCAGATTATTTCATTAAGAATTTTATTGACAGACATATTTCAAGTAAAACTTATAACTAGCCTCCTTACAAGTATAACTTCTTCCCCTAACTATTTAGACATCTGAATCCACATAAATAAGTATTATATGTAAAAAAGATCAAGGAACATTCTGATCATAATTGACTTCACTTTTCTAAAAAAAAAAATAATCTAATTCTTGTAAGGCCAATTCATCGTGATCATTGTCGATTAAGCGGTAAGAAAATTTGTCCCTAAAAGTACCTTCTTCGTTCATCTAGCCGCAAAATATCGATGCAAAGAGTCATATGCGCCAGCAACGTCCATATGTGCGATTCTTGTCACCTAATACGTAATCACCGGTTTGGCGATTGCAAATGTGTTTTGTTATATAATATAATCTACATTTAATCCGGCCGTACGTATCTTTCTGTTAGTTGACTGCCAAATTCTAACCCAAATCAGTCCACGACGTAGAGCACATATCGTAAAAATCTTAATCTATAGTTGTGTATACTTATACATAGCAGTACATCGCTTTATACTCTCCCCGGCATATTTTACTTTTTCACGCCATACCGGTGACAAATTAGATTCCTTTTTTATTTAGATAACTTTTGCCTGCGATTGAGAGGCAGACTGTTCGTTGGTCGCGCGATTTTGACTCCCCGTGTTATTCTGTAGTTGATTAGCGGGTTTACGATTACCGCCTCTGCTACCTCGATAACCACCGCGGAATCCAGCGTTATTGCCACCACCACTACCTCTGAACATGCCTCCCATTCCACGACCGTAGTAACCACGGCCGCGGAATGTACCGCGTCTTGTAGAAGCTACACCAAATGTTTCTGAATTCAGTTTTCGTTCTGTTCTCCAATCCGTGCGTTGGAATCGCCTAGAAAAATTGATATCATCTACAAAACATTTCACGATGTAAAGTGTATTATAAAATTATATCGATGAGAGACAACAATCGTATATAATACAATTTTCTTCCATTTAAGAAAAAATTAAAAATTATAGCTGTGCTTTGAATTTATACACCTACGTGATGATTATATTTATTAAATATTCTTGGCAAAGCTTACCCTTTACTCCTTTCAACAGCTTCACAGCTAATATTATCAAAGAATGATTTCGACTTATCATAGTGAACAATTTCCGGTTCCTCCTCAGGTTCACCTTCACCAGCACCTGTTTCGTTTCCACTGTCGTCTTTCTTCTCATTGTCAGTACCATCGATCTTCGTTTTCGCGAATTGCGACCTACAATATAACGTATATATGTTATAACAATATACTTACATATACAGTATATCATAGAAACATAATTTTATAAAACAATGTTAATGCGATGCGTAAACAATATGTATTGTTTGAAATTACAATTGCTTTAAATTCGCATTAAACTTTACTTTTGCATGGTATCCACATTGATCATTTCAACAATTACTTGAAATAAATCCGGCACATAACCATGCAGAATCAATCATCAGTATTTATAGCGAAACTTTATGCTCACCTTAATTCCTCGAACTGAGTGTTAGCTTGTTCGAAATCGTAGTCACCATCAAATTTCATCTTAGCCTTCATACCATCTGTTGTTACTGGCAAGCTGTTGTTTGCTTGATTCGTACGGAAACCACCACGTCCTCGTCCTCCTCGACCTCCTCGACCTCTCATGTTACCGCGGTTTACCCAACCACCACGGTTGCCTCGACCACCCTGCATATGACCTTGATTCTGGCCATCTTGTTTCATGTCCCTCTTCGAATCATTATAATGAGACATACCCGCGTTGTTTTTGGTACCTCCGTGACTAAACATTATTAAAAAACTACTTATCAAAATTTTGTGAAGCTGTATCATCAGCTCAACAACTAACAATAATATAAGTCTATGTAGAATCGCTTTATGCTTATATAAATAAAGAAATAAAGCAAATAAAAAATTGTAAAGTGCTTCTAATATTAGGATTCTAGAAAAATAAAACTATTATATGCATAAAATTATGATTTTCATTTATATAAAAATTAATTTGATTTATAGAAAATTAATTTCCTAAATGAGATACCTATCATGATCTCGACGAGGCGGTTGGACGGTCCTGATATTTGTCTTGTCATTCAATTTGCCAATGTTATTGCCCTGCTGCTGTTGTTCGTGTCCTACCTGAATACCTTGATCCATAGTTGGACTTTTCCTTGTCAATAGGGATGATGTAGGAGTGGTAGAACGAGAACCACCACTGATGAGGTCTAGTACACCTATTATCGCAATATGTAAATGTCATATAATCAATAAATTTTTATTAATATAAGGAGACCAAATAACCGACCAAAATTGCAAGCATTTCTAGTCCAACACGAAACTTTAGTATAAGAAAATAAAGACAAACTTTTCATTCCCACACAAAGTTCGAAATGAAAAATTGTTACTAACTTCTACAAAAGTTTCGCGTTTCTAAAATAAATCTCTAGAGGATTTGTATAAACAACTATTATTGTTTATTGTTACTGTAATTGCTATTTTGTTACATTATAATTTAAGCGTAAATGAAATAAAATTGAAAAAAAAGCATGCAAATGCAAAAATATTTTCTATCGATTTTAAAAGAGAAACGTAAACCAAATTACATATATACAGATCAAAATTTTTATAAATAAATATATGTGTATTTTTAAAGAATTTTTAAATTTACAAAAATACAAAAATTTCAAAATATACAAATTTTATCATACATATAAGTACACAATGATATTTACTCATTTAAAATTATATTTCATTAAAATGGGTATATGTATATACATAGAAACTATACATAGCACATAAGAGTATATGTATATACATAGAAAATATACATAGCACATAAGCGAAGCATGAAGATTGCAAAATATTAAAAATCTACGTAAATGTGCAAGAAAGATAGTAGACTTTTGTTAGTAGAATTCCAAATTTGTTATTATAACGTTAATTATAAATGATGTATTTAACAAAATATTAAAATATATCATAACATATTACATACATATCATACGTATTCCAGAATGCATAACAATTTATGCCATTTTCTGGTAACGTGAAGCGCGATATAAAAAAGCATTACCAAAACAGGAGCAGCAACAAGCATGCCAGCAAGGCAAGGGATACTTCATAGCAAAAACAGTTACCATCTTCCAGAGATTGATCTTTTGGTAATGGGTCGATATTGGCCGTTGGCAGTGAGTTTGGGATAGAGATGGCATTGGGTTCAGCAGAGCCCAAGCTCAACTCACTTGGCTGTTTATTCATTGCTCCGCGAGGATCTCTAGCTGCAGTTGGCATTCCCATTACCGGGCCCATGGCTCCCATACCCATACCATAGGGGGCTCCATATTGGCCACCCATCGGGCCCATCTGGCCCATCATCGGATGAGCATAGCTGGGCTGTGGTTGATACGACTGCTGACCCATAGATGGCTGCACCGTCATCTACGAACAATGATAACCAAAGTCAGCTAAAATTCATCATTATTTAATACAATTGATTTTGCTTTTAGGTTTTATCGATCATATTTACATTCTGTCGAATTTAAAAGATAAAGAATCTAAAAATTGAATAATTACCTGCACAATAGCTGGATCATTGGGGATAGAACTAACATTGTTGACGACTCTGATGTCTTTGATGTCTGATCCGCGAAACAGAATGTACTCATATACCTGATTTTGTGGTGCCACAGGAAGTTGAGTTTCTCTATCTTCAGTACCAAAGGAACGCACTACGAAAGTAACGATTTAGTTATTTCAAACTGTCATAATTAGAGACTCACTATCACAACTTTCTATTACATGAATTAAATTTTTATTACTAGATTATTAAATGAGTTTTAATTAAATAGATCTATATTTGTTTATTTATAATACTTGAAATAATATAAATATATATAAAAATAGTATATTAAATATCAGAATTCAAATCCTTTATATTAACAGTACTAATATATTTAGGTTACATTAATTTATTATAGAAAATATACTTGTGCAGTATCTATTGTTTTAACACATTAATTAATATCAATCGTGGAAAGAGAAATTATATATCTATGTTTCTTTTATATGTGTAACACCAATAGTACATTTCCAAGAATAATATTTATTCCTAACTGAAATATTTTCCAAAGTCACTATCTATTCAGTAGAATCAAGAGGACAAGGAGACAAGGACATGTAAACATTCAACAGAAGAAAGAGACAAACATTCCATACAAACGTTATACATACCAAACCTAAATTCAAAATTATACCTTCAGCATCAATAACGTACTAACAGATAATCACTTGAGTTCTAGAGTACTGGTAAAGTATTATACGGTGAACTTGTGTTTGTCAAAATCCGTATTAGATTTTTAGAATTGCCAGATTTATGTACTACTATTGTATCGATAATTTAGTACTAACATTGTAAAAATTTCAACGGTTTAATGGGCCTTCTACAATAAGCCATAAGTCATAAATCGGAAGTAAGAAACTAAAAAAATTGACGACTGTGATTGGTCCATTTCTAGCTTATGACTTATGATTTGTGATTTACGGCTTATTGTAGAAGGCCCATAAGACATCCGGTAACTTTAATGATTGCTAAGAACAAGACCAATTATATTAAGAATTTTACAAAGCTGTTTTTTCTGCTGATCGTAATCATTATTAATCTCACGCAGATCAAGCGACGATCCGTAACAGTACCGGTATTGGGTGTTTGCGCCAAAAATGCGGATTAAAACGCGCGATGCATTGGCACGATTGATGGATCATCTCAAGAAAATTAGGGCCAATGAAGCTCCGACATTGATTCTTCGAGAAACATACATTGTGATAGGATTACAGGTCGTCGCGACCCCGATTGTTTTGCAACGCGATGCCGCCGGATCGCGGGTGTCGGCAACTTTTCCCACAGACTCTCCATGCGTCGGTACGTGACTCGATGACGCGGTCGGCGTGGAGCCGGCAGAATGACAAACGGTCCGGATGAGACTTTGAATTCGTGCATTTCGCGACTTTCCGCGCGGAGTCACGGATATATGACCCCTACATTTATTTTCGACAATAGGAATGTAAAGATTCCCGCGCCCAGTGACACGGACGACAAGGAGACCCGGCAAGATGTTCCCGGGGAACTTTCGCGGGGACTCCAGCCGATCGGTCAAGTGGACGATCTCGAGGAACGGATAACGAGAGAAACGTGGGATACGAGAATCTCGGCGGCGATAGTAGTGGCAGTGGCGGCGGCGGCGGCGGCGGGATGATGCGGTGCGGCGGGAGTCCATCTTGGATTTCCGCCGTGCTACTCACCGTTAGCCAGGGCAATCGTACATTCCTGTGGATCGACGGTGAACAAACGGCCCTCATAACGAATATCCGCCTTCGAGATCAAGCTGATCTTCGAGCCCAGCTCTGGCATACCACCGCTCATCTTGACTTTGACTCCGTCGTGCTCCGATCGATGTGATTTTACGGGATTCACGACACCATCTGACGGGATCGTCCAGCTGACAGCAATAGTCGGCGGCGGACTACTTGCCAAGAGTGCCAACGACGCGCAGCGCATGCGCCCGAATACTCTATCCTCAATATGCCCTATCCTCAAATGGCGAAAATATTTTCGTCGCGTCGCAGGAGTGTGACTGTGAATACATAAAGGGTACCATTTTATTTATCGCATAATTGTTTTAATTTGTATTATAGACGAGATATTATTTGTTGAAATTAAAAAACTTGTCTATTTTTTTTAACCAATATGCTTGAAAAATTTGTCGTACGATAAATGAGATATTATTCAAACAGCCCCTATTTTGTAATTATTTTATCAACAATGACGAGGAATAATTATAGATTACCAACATCAGCGACTATCATCATCCATTCAATCATCCAATTACTTAGTCTGCAATAGAATGAGAGCTCAAATACAATATGAAAAGAATAAAAAATAATAAGGAGTAATCATGCAGTTTTAACCAATTAGAAACCATATATCTCAATGTATCCAGTTTCTGATAGGTAAAATTTGTTAGTCCTTGTTTTTTTCATTGTGTCTAAGTATTAATAAATTGTATGATTTATAATATTATTCATGTATAATATGTATGTAATATATATGACGATATGTTCCTACGAATGCCATGTATGGATATTATTGACTGAGAGAGAGATAATTGAAAATATGGCTTTATAGAAATATGCAATACCATTGCACCGTGTAATATTTATGAGATACATCCAGACTACTTTTTAAAAATCAGTCTTTAAAAATGTATTTTTTCAATATTTTTGTTTAAATGTTAATAAAAACAATATATGAGATAAAATGACACTCATCTGGTTCCATTTTTTAATTTTTTCTTAAAAAATCATACATTATTTAATTGATGGATTCTAAACTTCATTTTCAGATTCAACTCTGATTATGTTATGTCTTGATTTTAGAAGAGAAAGAGAGAAAGAGAGTTGATGCGGTGCGTGTGTTAGAGTAAGTATTTGTATGAGATAAAACCAATTTTTTTTCATAGACTTATATTTTATTTTATAGCAAATTTAGTCACTGTATTATACTAGATTAATGAATATTAAAAGTGCTACATGTGAAATTAACAAAGTTAAATATAAAAGCAGATAAATATATTTTGAACAATTAAATATTCAATAATGACATCGTTATATTTAATTGAACGTACATTTATGATTTCATTGTTAAAATTGATGATTATATATTACGCCACTGTACTTAGATATTTTATATATAAAGTAACCTTTTTGAAATGCGTGCACTAATTTAGATTTTAGAAAGTAATACAAGTGACCGAATTCAACATTATTCAAATATATAACTTAAATAAATATAACAGATATAATACAATATAATAAATATAATATAAATATAATTTAATATGGTAACGTAAATATAATAAAAAAATGACACACGTGTGAATCTAGATTCCGCATATTATAAACGCACATTATTATCGCGTTCAAGTTCAAGCGCGTGATCGTTCATGTCGCGATGCGATTGTGTTGGCGAACCTGTGCGGGTCCGCCGACCGAGGTCATCTTCACGGTGTTCTCCCGTCTTTGCACTGACGTTTAACCTCTCTTTTAGATCCTCACGACCGATCCGACAAATCGGAATAATCACGGGAGGATTTTTGTGATAATTACGAAAGTAACACTTCGTCAATCCATCCATCAACATCCAGCGGATCGTATATTGACTAGCATAACCCTTCATTGCATCTATGGCCAACATGGCGGCGACGTTAGGTCGAATTTGTAAATCAGGTCTTCTGAAATCGAATTACGGCACGTTAATCGGCCAGGTAAGTAAATGGATACTGATTTTCAATTTCTAAATAACCACGTGCGTTGCCTTGCGAAAATCCTCGCAGCATCGCGACGTTCATGTTAACATACCTGATGTTAACCAATATTGACCCGCGGCCTCGCGCTGAGGGTACGATATTGTCGGCTGCTAATGTCACACCTTTTTCGGCGATTTCGCGCCCGACGGAACGTTCATGCACATCGGACGTCGACAAACGGCTTGAAGGCACGCGACGTCAACACGGTGACTGTTTCGACAGTACTTCAACAGATGTTATGTAATAATGAGCGATATCGAGAAAATCCGGGATACTGCCATGATATCAAACATGCATTACCGATACATTGTTCGCGGCCAGTGACACAAGCGAATATGTATTGTTCACGAGCGCTGTCACAACAAATCTGTATACATGAATTTTATCGCCTAATTGTGTAGACATAATTATACTGTCAATTGTCATCAATTATCAGTTTTTGATCAAAGAAAGTACTTATGGTAAACAGTTCATTAAGTGTACTCCTTGTTACTTGATTATGTCATATTAAGATTAATAAGTTTGTTTTATACGTATATTAATATAAGAACATGTAGTAATCTTTAACTTGAACAATCATTAAATTGATCGATTTGTATTTGATATATAAAAGCTATATCTCTCTTGTAAATATTTTATAACGACAATATATATTTTGAATGATATATAGAAAAATAAGGAATATATATATTATTTAAATAATTATTAAAAATATATATATTTAAATTTAAGATAATTTTGGTAAAATCAAATGTACTGTATGTAAAGGAAGAAAATAGAAATATGAAAGATATGTGTAGAGTAATATTGCAAATAGTTTCTCCCTATTGTGAAATATGTTAAACTTTGTATACTTAAACTTTAAATTTTGTTTTTACAGACCAGTAATTTTTCCACTGTAAAAGAATGGCCTAGGAGTCGGAAAATGGTATGTGAATTTAATTTAGCTTGGTTGAAGAAATATCCCAACCATATCCAATTCCTTTTTTATCAGAATCAACTTTGCATTCCCTCAAACTGCATATGTTAGTAAGTTAGGATAGACTACAGTTTTACCGATATTTTCAGTATATGATAATGTTATATATATATATAATATGTAACAACAATATTATATAAACTATGTTATTAAAAAAATGACAAAACCTACTTGTAACGTTTTTAATTACAGTTATTAACATGCTTAGGAGTAACTGCCGGAGGCATCAGTGCCCTCATATATGCTTTAGATAGCTCGGTAAGAGCTGCTGATTTGATAGCTCATCCTCCAACATACAAATGGGACTTTTATGGATGGTTTAATTCATTAGATCATGCTAGGTATAATTCTTAAATACTAACAATGAATGATGCGTATGTATTACTATTGTTCTTAATCTATATTTTGTAGTATGCGACGTGGATGGGAGGTCTACAAGAACGTGTGTGCAGCTTGTCACAGTTTGGAGTATGTAGCATACCGTCATCTCGTTGATGTTACTCATACCGAAGCAGAAGCCAAAGCTCTCGCGGAAGAAGTCATGGTACATCTTTTATAATATTACTATAAAAAATATCTCGTATGTTTATAATTGTGTAAAATATAAGATTTAATGTAATGACGAACTTTTGTGTGATACATAGATAGAAGATGGCCCTAACGAAGCAGGAGAGTATTTTAAACGTCCAGGAAAATTGTTTGATTATGTGCCATCTCCATATCCGAATGAAGAAGCTGCAAGAGCAGCGAATAATGGTGCTTATCCACCTGATTTATCTTACATGATAAATGCCAGGCACGATGGAGAGGCAAGTAAATTTTTAGTAATATATGAAATTTGTGCAATCAAAAAATTAAATTTTTAATCAATTTTCATTAAAATTTTTGATATATTTATATACCATGTATGTATATACTTCTATTAAAATACTACAATTTACATTTAACTAAATATATATAATACACGTTTCAGAATTATGTTTTTTCTTTACTAACTGGATATTGTGATGCACCAGCTGGTGTAACTTTAATGGAAGGACAATATTTTAATCCATATTTTCCAGGTGGTGCTATTAGTATGGCACAGGTAGGTTATTCACATTTTTTAAATATTGAAACTGATATACAATTGAACTTGATACATTTATTAATGATAATAAAAATAATGATAATAAATCAATTCTACTCCTTCGTATAGGCTATTTATAACGAAGTCTTAGAATATGAAGATGGTACTCCAGCAACTGCTTCTCAGGTAGCAAAAGATATTACCACATTCCTAATGTGGACTGCCAATCATGAATTTGACGAGCGAAAACAAATGACTATTAAGGTGAACTGAATATTCACTACAAATTTTATTTTACTTTGTCATTTTATTGTAATTATTTTAATGTTGATTATTTATAGGCTATTGGAATATTAGCAATTCTCTTGGTTACTTCATACTACTTCAAACGACACAAGTGGATGACTGTAAAGAGTACAAAACTAATGTTTGTCCCCAAAAAATACCGTTAGCCAAATGGAAATTGACGCCGTGATGTTAGCTTTTGTGCTGGTATCAGACTGTAGTTTCGCAATTTAAGCAATATATCCGGCAAGTTGTGGCTCCTCTCTGAAGATTTAAATTTATTCATATATTTGACGAACTGTCAATTTGTCATCACTACCAAAATCTATTAAATTAAACATTGTACATAGTTATACGAAATGGAGTCATCGTCTGATTTAAATAAATTGTTAAACATGAACAATGTCCATTCCTTCGATGAGACACATGATTTATTTTTAGTTTTAAGCAATTCACAAAATGTATCAAGTATTTATGGACATTTCAGTCTATACAAGATCAAAAATTATTTTAACTGACTAAATATATTATTCTTATTTATTATTGGTAAGTTTATTATGTGATTATGTAATATTTTTTATAAGTTATTTCAATTAAGTTTTCATCCAACCCATTTTCGAAGATTAATACACGGGGATAAAATATGTGCAAAAGTCTGAATATGTTACAGAGTCATTTAGTTTCAATAAAGCAACGATTTATTCAAAAGTTAAAAAAAAGTCGCTAACATATAGGTAAGAAATACAGGAAACACTTACTTCTAAGGAAATCACTTTATTCTCCTTAAGCTTGTTTTCGTCCACATGGAGCTATAACTTGTTATTCTTTTAATAGGATG